TTAGCATCCATATCTTGAAACGTGTTAAAACGCAAACCCTTACATATATCGACTTAAAAACAAAGTGACTTATGCCACTTTCAAAATAAACGGTTCATATACTCAAATCGATAATAACAAGAACGAAATTCATGCACTCAAATTATGGTCATGAATGAGACAGCAAATGTTTTTATATTTCCGACATAATCTTTGTAAAGTCATATGTAAAAATAAGAATTTGCGTAAACATCGGCACTTGTTACTTTGTAATATAAACGCCGGAAAGACGTTTAAACAAGTCTAGTCTCGTCATTCTCGTAGTTACCTATTAGTGTTAACCCCTAGCACTATAATATCGAGTCAGACTGGCAACGAAGATTTCATACATAATCTACTAAATATGAATGTTACGTTGATTATAATATTTTATTACTAATATTAAACGCAAAATTAAAAAATTAACACGAATCTCACGTACAATATTTTCACACACATTAATAACAATTTTAATTTCCTTTAACTCTTCTCCCATCGTTCAATTATACCATTTTAATAAAAATAATTCCACATTTACCCTTCCCTTGTTTTTATTGAACTTCATTTATAATGATCGCATACCCAAAATACTAAAACTAATAAGTGTAATTCATACTCTCATACTTTTAAAAAATTTGATTCTTTTATTATAGAAATCTAGGAACGGAAGTTGATGGAGACATGCGAGAAACAGGAAATGCTCTGTGAGGGAGATGGTTAAAAACGAAGAAGTGCTAGTCAACATTTATGATAAAAATGAATAGGTGCAATTTAAAACAGTAAAAGAATTAAAATAATTGAAAAACGTTAATGTATTATTTTTGATCTGTTATCGGAGAAAAAAAAAGAACCTGCTATTCATTTTCTATTTCTCGCGGTTGACAATGTTTATTTTGCATAAATATTCGCGGTCTAGTAATAATATTTGCAGAACCGAGGGCCAGGGGACGATCCAGAGACGTCCAGGATGACATCCGCGTGTTATACGTCCGTAGCACGAGAAATCTGACGAACGCCAACCACCGGAAACCAAAGGCCGCGGCGAAGAATGGGTGACGAATGATGCATGCGCGACTTTTTTACAGCGATTCTCTCGAATGAACGAGCCATTACGAAAACGGTCGGCCTCCTCTCCTCCCCAATGCCGACAACAAAACGCCTCTCCTGGGCTAGCGAAATGCTCCTGAATCGAGCGAATTTCGAGATCCTTGCGTGTACATACGCGCAACCAGCACGAGCGAATGTATGCGCTCGTTCGAGAGACTAAATTGATCGAGGCCCCGTTTTGTTTGTGGTCACTCTTAAAAACTCGAACGACAAAGAATCCGTGCGCCCCTCGCGCCGATATGTTCGTTTCGAGCTTTCGTTTTTCTCTCGGCCCGCTGCNCAAATAGATAGGTGGGCGGTTCGCTTCGTGCTCGCCAATAAGCCGTTCAGGTACTCGAAGAATTGTTCACGTGGTTGTACGTGTCCAACTTAAAATTGCTGACGTGCCCGCGGGCATCCTTGAACGTTAGAAAACGAGCAGCGAGGAGCTGCGAAATTTCTTCTCTGTCAAACGGACAACAAAACGATCGTCGGCGTTTAAAACTGTCAGACTGTTTGCGTATCAAACAAATTCGGAAATTCAAATCATTTTTCTGCCAAAGGAACCCTTTTACCTCGAAACTTATATAAAAATGTGATTACAATATTTATTTATTTTGAAAGTGGCATAAGTCACTTTACCGTAATGAAAAGTGGTGATTTTTTAATGTTCATACATAACAAATACAAGTAAATCTTCTCGAAAGTTAGCATCCATATCTTGAAACGTGTTAAAACGCAAACCCTTACATATATCGACTTAAAAACAAAGTGACTTATGCCACTTTCAAAATAAACGGTTCATATACTCAAATCGATAATAACAAGAACGAAATTCATGCACTCAAATTATGGTCATGAATGAGACAGCAAATGTTTTTATATTTCCGACATAATCTTTGTAAAGTCATATGTAAAAATAAGAATTTGCGTAAACATCGGCACTTGTTACTTTGTAATATAAACGCCGGAAAGACGTTTAAACAAGTCTAGTCTCGTCATTCTCGTAGTTACCTATTAGTGTTAACCCCTAGCACTATAATATCGAGTCAGACTGGCAACGAAGATTTCATACATAATCTACTAAATATGAATGTTACGTTGATTATAATATTTTATTACTAATATTAAACGCAAAATTAAAAAATTAACACGAATCTCACGTACAATATTTTCACACACATTAATAACAATTTTAATTTCCTTTAACTCTTCTCCCATCGTTCAATTATACCATTTTAATAAAAATAATTCCACATTTACCCTTCCCTTGTTTTTATTGAACTTCATTTATAATGATCGCATACCCAAAATACTAAAACTAATAAGTGTAATTCATACTCTCATACTTTTAAAAAATTTGATTCTTTTATTATAGAAATCTAGGAACGGAAGTTGATGGAGACATGCGAGAAACAGGAAATGCTCTGTGAGGGAGATGGTTAAAAACGAAGAAGTGCTAGTCAACATTTATGATAAAAATGAATAGGTGCAATTTAAAACAGTAAAAGAATTAAAATAATTGAAAAACGTTAATGTATTATTTTTGATCTGTTATCGGAGAAAAAAAAAGAACCTGCTATTCATTTTCTATTTCTCGCGGTTGACAATGTTTATTTTGCATAAATATTCGCGGTCTAGTAATAATATTTGCAGAACCGAGGGCCAGGGGACGATCCAGAGACGTCCAGGATGACATCCGCGTGTTATACGTCCGTAGCACGAGAAATCTGACGAACGCCAACCACCGGAAACCAAAGGCCGCGGCGAAGAATGGGTGACGAATGATGCATGCGCGACTTTTTTACAGCGATTCTCTCGAATGAACGAGCCATTACGAAAACGGTCGGCCTCCTCTCCTCCCCAATGCCGACAACAAAACGCCTCTCCTGGGCTAGCGAAATGCTCCTGAATCGAGCGAATTTCGAGATCCTTGCGTGTACATACGCGCAACCAGCACGAGCGAATGTATGCGCTCGTTCGAGAGACTAAATTGATCGAGGCCCCGTTTTGTTTGTGGTCACTCTTAAAAACTCGAACGACAAAGAATCCGTGCGCCCCTCGCGCCGATATGTTCGTTTCGAGCTTTCGTTTTTCTCTCGGCCCGCTGCTGGCTGGCTGGTTTCGCTCCCCACCCTTTTGTTAACTTGCCTACACTCTTTCTCGCATTTCGAAAACGGGCGACCATTGTTCCGCGCCGATCCTTCTAGCCGCCGAACGATTTTTCTTCCTTGCGCGAGACATCGCATGCTCCTGCGTCCAGTTTGTCATTTCCACACACAACGCAGATATAGTACCACTTTGGAAATTTTCAGTCGTTTAGAGAAGTTTGCTGTGCTTCTTTAGCACTCGTAGTAAGATCGAATACATTTTATGATAAACAGTAATGTTGTCAATATCTATGGGAAAAATAAGTGATTTGATTTTTCATTTTTTACGTCGATTTCGTAACACTTCGGAAATTTTGTACGTTTGTTTTAATTTATTTAAATCTTAACTACTATTGGTGGTCTAAGAAAACACTATATTATAATTATTTATTCATTCTTGCTTATAATTCTTATTCACAATTGTGTGAAAGATTGTAAAAACAGAAACGTTGTTAATTCACTTGCTCCTACTCAATCTTCATTATTGATGTGCAAGCTAAGAATAATTGATTTTGATTTTCTCTTTAACACTTCTCTTTCAAGTAAACAATAGCACAATAAACATTAGAAGTCTGTGACATATTGCTGTGTATAGAAACACATACATATATATAATATATGCGAGAATAACGAAAATTAACATAAAAATGACATAATTGCATAAGATTGAAAGAATACCTGATGGCAAATTTGACAGTCTTTCTTAGAGACAGTTGATGTATAGCAATCTATGAACGCTGAATTTTCGATTTTCGACAAATTGGGTATATTTGAAGTGTTGGAATTTTGTAAAAACGAATCTACATTCGAAATTTATTGTTCATTTTTTTCCAACATGATTTTACATAATATTGACAACTTCTATACACATAATGTTATTTCGAAAAAAAAACTGTAATTGAAGACTATTTCGAAAGTAATTCTATATAACACTGCGCTATAATAATATTTGAAAAGTAGTTGCAATGTGACTCTATTCAAAATTGTAGATCAATGTATAATAATTCTATTATCTTCCAAAAAATTGTACACCAAAGTTTACGGAGTTGTTGCAAAGAGAAATCTTATTTTAATCCACAACATTTTCAAAAAAGAGCATGCCTACAGTTTCACTTGTTATATTATGCAAAAAAAATATTTAATAATATAACCATTTACATGCCAACAAATGAATGTTTATTATCATTTTGAATGATTCTTTCCGTATTTCTTATAGGTTCTCATTTAAATTCTGGTAAGAATCATCTGCTCTGTAAAATCTGAATTTAGCACCATGCAGCGGCCAAATGCTCAAACTGATGGACAAAAGTTCTTGATCGATGTATGATATATATATATATATATTTAAATAAAAATGTCAACTATATTACATTGTGATACAAAGTTTTCTCACCTGTAAACTTTGTTAAACCTTAAATATTTAAGGTGTCATTTATTTTAAGATTTATTTAAATCTACTATTATTACAAAGTATAGGAACAAAAGGAATTGATATTATTTATATTTATTTATATAATTTATATTTATAAATTGTTCCTAAATTCAATAATATTATAAATTATTAATTAGTATCGTCGATGAAATAAAAAAATTATATCTACATTGACTACAGACGTTGCCTATCATTTTGAAACTGTTGGTAACTATTGTCTACTAGTTCAATTGTTTTGCCATTACGAGAAATGGCGCTAATTGTAAATTCTAAGGAGCAAATGATTCTTGCCGAAATTTACACGGTATCTCATAAAACAAGCGGAAAGTATAATCTCGAACAATCCAAAGAATCATTGACATACACAAGCAGAAGTATCGCATCACATACTTCATTGCAAAATGTCAGCTTCTGACATTGACAGTTGACCTAATATTGCATTATTTGTAACGTTTCCGAGGCTGCTATAAATGTCTGTAAATAATTTTTAACCGTGGAAAGTGGTATGCATTCAAATACCAAGCCTGGAATGGCAGACAAGCCTGATTGTTCAATGAAGCAGACCTCTGACATCGCAAGTGAGGTTATAAAAGAGAAAGAAGCTGATATAAGTCGTTATTTTGAAAATGGATCTCGCACAATATTCGATGAGATCGTTCCGTCGAAAAAGAATGATTTCTCCGAAGTGCAAAGAAGTACTATGAGCAGAATTCCGGATTTTGAATTAATGAGCGATCGCTCGAACGAGTTCTTAAAAACTAGCACGTTGTTCGACAATGAATTGCTTGATCATAGTGCGTCGAACGACATGCACAGAGATATTTGGATACCTTCTGAGAAAACAAGGAAAGTTCTGCGCAGCATCGCCACATCAGCTATGGGAAGCAATTCTCTTGAAAGGGAGAACCTGACGATGCCAGGTTTGGCAATACAAGGAGACATGCCCGATTTAATAAAGAGTACTGCCATTCGTTACCTAGGAGAAGCTGAGAACATTCACAGAAATGTACGTACATCTTCGGATGTGACACAAGATGAACGTGGCCTGAGAAATTTAATACAAGCTGGTTGTTACAAGGCGGCAATAAATTTGTCGGGGAAACTTTTGGCTGTGTATGCTCAAGGGTATGGCAAAATAAACCAACCTAGCAAACATACTCCACATTCTTTGCAGCTATGGTACACAAGGCTAGCTTTATTGACTAAACTGAACCAAGTAGATGTTCTAGAGAACGAATCAAAACCATTTGGTAATCTAGATAAACCTGATATGTATTTCACATTTTATCCTGACTTATATGGCACCAGACCAGGTTCTATGGCTTCATTTTCCTTTCGACTACTTTTAGCAGAGATACCATCGTACTGTGGTAGACCCAAAGAAGCATTGGATAATCTATACAAAGTTCTAGCCACTGTGAATCAGATAATAACAAATTTTAATGATGGCTACAGTGGAGATGGATCTCGCATTACAGTAAACGCTGTTGAACAAGAAGATGCTATACGCTTATGGAAAGGAAGAAGATCTAGAGTCCTAATGTCCATTACGAACTGTGCAGTTGGCATAAAAAATTACGTACTAGCTGTAGATATTTTAGAAAAGTTGTGTGATTCTCCAGATTGGTCACCTGAACAATTAGAAGCTTTAAAATCTAGCATAGGTAGATTGCATTTGTTTTTGGGAGATGTTGCAACAGCAGAAAGATTGCTTATTAATGAGAATAAACAGAATAGTAGTCTAACTGTGAGAGAGTGGATGGATAGAGGGCTACTGGCTGTAGCTCACAATTCCTTTCAGGAAGCATACAAATACTTCCAGGAGGCGGCCATGCTAGATCCTAACAACATCGCGTTAATTAATAACATGGCTGTTTGTCTTTTATATACAGGGCAGTTGAAGGAGGCCGTGCATTTATACGAAAGTGCAATTACAAAGAATCCTGCAAGAAGCTTGCAGGAGTCTATACTATTAAATTTGCGTAGTGCGTATGAACTTCTTACACACTGCGAACAACCGAAATTGCAACTTTTGAGTCAACTAAATAGGTATAAAGGAGATGCTATAGACATACAATGTCTGAAGCTTGGTCTGTAAATTAGCTCTAATTCTATTCGTCCATGTATAACGTGTGATAGAAGAAAGGGAAGATTAAAACTTGTTATTTAATTGCAATAACGATTGCAGTAAGTAAGATGTAAAGTTTATTAAATAATAAGTAATTTCAATCGAGTTAACAAAAATGGTATTATTTAATTACATATCTTCATTGACATTCTCATCTTTCAAAGATTTGTCTGAGGTCTTGTATCGTTTTTACATTGTGACAATGATTCTTACCTTTTCAAATCATTAAATGTTAGTTAAATTCCCGCACGAATCGTTTACGCCACCTTCGTTCAGCGCCATTCCTCGTAGTGGTAAAAAGCTCAAACTAATATATAGGCAAGTTTCGAAAACTTGAAATTTTAAAAAGGTGCCTATTTCCCTGGAATTGAAATTGAATAATTGTTACATAATTAGTGAACGTATTCCCAAATCCATATTTGTAAGTTTAAAACTTAGATTGCATTCTATACAGTTTATTTTGTTAATTTTACATTAATTTTATGAATACATTTTTAGAAAGAACCATTTGCGAAGGAAAATTTAAATTAGACGGTGTAGAATATTAAATTGATATAGAACATTTGAAAATAATCAATATGCCTTGTCCGATAATTGCTTATTTCCAAGTAAGATTTTATATCAGTTATTAAATTACATTGAAAATATTTAATGAAAACTAGAAATATATCAATATATAAATTAATCGAAGATCATACCGAGCTAATTGGTTTTTAGATTAAAACGAAAACCTTTATTTTTATTATGGACATTAATCGAAATTTGTGTAATGTCTACTAGGCTTAATTGTTTACTGGACATGTATATACAAAAAACTTATGCACAATCGACTTTCTAAATTTTCTGGACGTGTAAAGATTTCTTACATTAATTAAGTTAATTGCAGATGAACTTCCACAGTGAACTTCACTTTCGCAGTTAATTATATTTTATAGGTACCATTTTCATTGTTTGAATGTATGCGCACGTATGAATTTGTGGCTTTCAATTCATAAAATGAGCCGCAATACAAATGAAGTATATAGTATACTTGATTCTCGCTAAGAAGCTAAAGTTTATGAAACATCGGTAACGATGCGACATGGGTATGATAATAGGGCTTCTGAATCTGACGTCTAATTTTGGGTAATAAAAAAATACATTGGGTATCGACCTACTACACCTCTTCTGTGGTATTATTTGTGAAACATTTTACATAACAACTCTAAAAAAATATGTCCGGTATTCTACACAGTATTTCTGTTCTGTACTTAAAAATATTGAAAATATTTATGTGATCTCATTTTTTATAATGTGATAATGTCGCAATAGTATTACAGTTTAAGTGTGTAAATTTTGTCAATAGATGTGTATAGTAAAAACGCGCGCGCGTTGGGTATATTATATATGTGTATATTATATATAATGATTAAATTGCCGGCCGCCTTTGGAAGTTTTCAATTGTATGCACATGTTTTGTATCGTACTTTTAAAATTTACTAGTTATTCAGACACTTTTTAGTGCAACCAAATATTTTATATCAACAAATTTATGTTCTGTATATTCAACTTATAACAATTACAAATTTGTGTATTTTTTTATGTATGAATTAGGTTATAGGTTATCTGTTTTGTGATATTTTTTACTCGGTGCCCTTGTTCGATAATCTCCTTAATTAACATTTGGTATTAAGAGACGACGTTTGTATGAATCATCATTTAATTATTTCGACCTCTACAGGTAATATTGTAATTTAATGAATATTGTTATTTACATCCAAGACATTCAGTACTGGAATAGTGTTGTTAGATATTAAATATCGCATAATTATTAAGGATTTAGCAGCAGGTGTATTAAAACAAATTTATTAGGTTATGAAATGGCACTTGCTATTTTACATTTTGCTCACAGGAATTCATTGAAACTACTCTTTGCTTCCACCATGTCCACATCAGCATCAGTGGATGATCGTATGTTGAAGGGAATAAGAAGAATTGTTCCAAATTTAAACAATGTTAAATATAAAGGACAGGATGGCAGAATTGGTATATTTGGTGGTAGTATGGAATATACTGGTGCACCATATTTTGCAGCCATGAGCGCACTTCGTACTGGATGCGATTTAGTGCATATATTTTGCGTAAAAGATGCAAGCATTCCTTTGAAATCATTTAGTCCAGAGCCTATTGTCCACCCAGTGTTAGATCAATATGATGCAGTTAAACAAATAAGACCCTGGCTCGATCGTCTGCATGTAATTATTATTGGTCCTGGTCTTGGTAGAGATGACAAAGTATTTAAAATAATTGTTGAACTGATTGCAATCTGTCGAGACATGAAAAAACCATTGGTGATCGATGCTGATGGATTATTTTTAATTAGTCAGAAACCTGACATTATAAAAGAATATCCAGGAGTAATATTGACACCAAATGCTATGGAATTCAGTCGTCTAATGAAAGGAGTGCTTGATAAAACAGTTCAACCTTCGCCATTAGTCAAAGCCACTGATGTCAAACACTTGGCAGAAGCACTTGGAAAAAATGTTACAATTTTGCATAAAGGATCAAAAGATTTAATCGCAGATGGACATAAAGGTACAGAAGCAGTACCGTGTGGTTTGGCTGGTTCTGGCCGACGATGCGGTGGGCAAGGTGATCTACTAGTTGGAGCATTATCTGTGTTTTGGTGGTGGGCAATTTGTGCAGGAAGTTGTGAAAGTTCTTTATCAGCACCAATAGCTGCTAGTTATGCTGCATCAAGATTAGTGAGAGAATGCAATTCATCTACATATAAGATAAAGCAGAGAGGAATGCTAACATCCGACATATTGGAGCAAATACAACCTGTTTTTGCAAGAATCTTTGAAACGCATTGTAACAAGTGAGCTATTTAGTTATAGTGACAATGTAATTGGTTTTGGTATTCAATATTTTGGAACTATTTTGAACAGACTTTTTTATATGTACCATACAGAGTATATAATATTGTACAATATATTGTATATATAGTTGTATACATGTAGTAAAAACATTAATGTTGATTATAGAACATATTCATTCAATGGGAGAAGTCGAACACGGAGCACTGATTCCTGAATTGTGCTCATTCTCATATTTCCATTTTTACAAACAGAGTTACAGGAACGTTTTCATTTTCATCTGTTGATACATTC